CACATTATCGAGGGGATGGCATTTAAATAATCATTACAATCATAGCATGTTTGATTAATGGAATCATTTTGAATAAGGAATACTAAGTATTTCTCAATTATTTTGGCTACAAAGTCTGCTTGTAGTTAACGAATCAGTTAATAATTATTTCTAGAAGGCAGATTTCAGGACTGCACTTATTCCTATATGTAAACATGTTGGGGAATTTTGTCCACTTTGGGAAAAAGATGATGGCGCATTTATTAAACTGCTTACATAAACCAAATCATCTACTCTTAAATGGTGTTTTAAGTGAAATTAGTATTTTGAGCAAAATAATGCAGGAATCCAATTCGATGCCCTTACAAGCACCAAAGGAAGAAAGGATAACACAAGATCAGTGTTATGTTAAAAATTTTTGAGTCTTGGGGCGCCTGGGTGGCTCAGTCATTAAGCGTCTGCCTTTGGCTCAGGTCATGATCCCAGGGTCCTCAGATAGAGCCCTGTGTCGGACTCCCTGCTCAGTGGGAAGCCTGCTTCTCCCTCTCCCACTCCCCCTGCTTGTGTTCCCTCTCTCGCTGTGTCTCTGTCAAATAAATAAATAAAATCTTTAAAAAAAAATTTTTTTTTGAGTCTTGGTGGCGAGCATGCTATTCTCTGTAGGTTGATGTGTGTGTGAAAATTTCTAACAGAAAAAAGTTTTTAAAATAGCACCTTAATGTCTACCACCAAACATCCTCAATTTCCCCCCAATCTCTTAAATAATTAATTATTTGGTTCCTAAAGTTTAATTACTGAAAAAAAAAAAGAATCCCTGGGTTCACAGGGAGCTCAGAGTTCATGTTGTATAACCCCCTGTGGATATAAGAGCCCTGCCCAAATCCCTAGATCTAGATCACCAGGTCTCCACTTGATTACCTCCTGCAATGGAGAGCTTCCCACCTAATATCTCCCACCTAATGAATGAAGTTCATTCATTCATACAACACCTTAAGGCGATCAGAATCAAAATCACATACACACAGCCACACACTCACACAGTCACTTACACACACTCTCTCATACACACACAAATACTCACACACTAAACCGGCTGGTCTGACGATTCTTCAAGCCTCAGTCTCTGAAACTGTGAACCACTGTGAACACCTCCAAAGCCTCTACCTTCCACAGGGGCTTCAGAAAACCCAGCCTCCTTCCTTGGCCAGTCTCTGCTCTCCAGGGGCCCTTCGCTCCACCCTGCTCCTCTGTGGCCAGCACCCAACAGAGAGCCTGGGGAAGGAACAGGAGCAGCAGGAAGAACAATTTGGATGCAAAACAGGTTTGGGGAAGTGATGCCTCATGGGAGGAGCAGTGATTTGGCAAGAGGGGAACCATGCCTATGAGAGTTCAGAATCTGGTGAGTGTCCACAGTGCCTGGGTGTCTGCTGTCACAGAAAAATTTCACCAAAGTTAAACAGGCACAGGAGACTTTATTCAAGACTATGGCAGGGGCGCCTGGGTGGCTCAGTCGGTTAAGCAACCGACTCTTGATCTTGGCTCAGGTCTTGATCTCACACTGGGTGTGGAGCTACTTAAAACAAAACAAAACAAAAACTTATGACAATAGTGGAGAGACTCCACCAAAACAAAATAGGGAAAGGTTTTTAAGCCCTGAATGGGCTAGTGGAACAGTGCTGGTCGGTGATAGGAGAGAGGCTGGTCCATGGGCTGTGTCCAGCACACTGAGCTATTTCTGAGTTTGCGAGTGTTTTTCTCTGCGATAAGGCCATCTGTATTTGCTAATTGTCCCTTATTCAAGTTCGGCTCCTACCCTCCCACAGAGCCTGGGGGGGGGGTTGCTATCTTCTTCAATGATGACTTTTCAAAGGGATGGCTTGCAGGTCCCTGAGAAAGACATTCCAGGGTTGCAAAACTACTAAGAGGCTGGGAGATTTACCTACATTTCAAAGAGACAGAGAAAGAATATGCAATGCCAAGTTTTCTAAAACAAATGCCCTAAGGAAAGGGAGGTCAGGGGGCTGTAGTCAGGAAGAAAGCTGTGTAAAATTTAATCAAGCTCGGGGGACCATTAAGGCCATCCTGGTCACTGCCATTATGTCAACTCTGTCCCATCCATCTGTGGGTCTATGACCCTAGGTCTCTGCACATGCCTGGTGCCCACCCTGCACAGCACAGTGAGGGCTGTGATCGCAGGGGGCAGCTCCACCAAGGGGCAGAAGTGAGGCAGGTCAGGAGGTGCTGACTTGGGGTCTCTGCCCCAGCTCCAGCTGCCTCCAGGGGCATCCGTCTGCATGTCCCCACAGCCCTGTGTCTGAGTGTCCACATGGATCTGTGTCCTCGGGGGATTCCGTGTCCCTCTGCTTGTCTGCCTGTGTCTCTATCTCCTCCAATTTTTTTTATTCATTCATTTACTAATCTAATAAACATTTATTAAAGGCATGTCCTGTTCATCAGGGTGTCCCCCTTCATGTCTGGGTTTGTCTGGGTGTCTACATTTACATCTGTCCACATTGCGAGTGCCTGTCTTTGTGCATCCCATGTGTAACTGCCTCTCCATCTGTCTGTCTGTCTGTCTCTGCTTCTCTGTACATTCATTGGTTCATTCATTCATACAACATTGCAAACATCCCTGAGGCCTCTGAGGAGTTCTCAGCCTGATAGGGGAGACAGACAGCAGTCCAACCCAGGGTGACCATGGCTGGAGACAGGGAGGTGCCTGAGGCTGAGAGTGGGTGGATGAGTGGGGGAGATAGGGATCAGAAGAGGCTTCTAGGAGGAGGTGATGTTTGTGTCTCTGGGTCCAGAGACATGGCCCCAGCATTGGAGGGTGTGTGTGTGTGTGTGTGTGTGTGTTTATGCATAATGTGTGTTCCAGTAGAGAAAGAGAAGAGAAATCAAGACAGCCTGCAAATAACAAATCCCCCAAATTAAGGATTATAGGCCTCTAGCTCCCTCTTCCTTCAGACCCAGAAATCCAGATCCCTCTCCCTCCTCAGCACCAAGGACTCATCATGGCCCCATCATGATTACCTAGGAGGAAACCAGGAAGGGCGGGGGTGGAGGAATCCGGAGCAGGCTGGAGAGCCGGGATGCCTGGGGCTCAGCAGGGAGAACCAGCCAGACAGAAATCAGATCAGGAGGAGCTGTCCTCGGGGTCTCAGCTCAGCTCCACAAACTGGCAATGGGAGTCCCCAGAACCATCCTGCTCTGCCTCTTTGGGGCTGTGTTCTGCCTGACAGGTACCCAGACTTCTGAGCCCAGTGTTAAGAAATGGGGAGGGGGTTGGACTTCTGGGTCTGAGGGAGGAAGGACTGAGGGGGCCTGGACTCCTGAGTCTGAGGGAGGAGGCAGCTGGGAGTTTGGACTCCTGGGTCTGAGGGAGGAGAGGCTGGGGGCCTGGACTCCTGGGTCTTGGTGGAGGAGCCGACTGGAGACTGTGTCCTCATGTGTCTTCTCCTCTGTTCTCCCATCAGTCATCTTCTCTGACGTCTCTATCCGCCCACCCCCCTCCACTGCAACCTCTCATCCTCCTTGCCCATGCCCCTGTTCAAGGGTACTTCTGGGGAACCCTGGGGGTCTTTCCAGAACTGGCAGAGAACTTTGGCCTCACCCTCAGGCAACCCCTTCCCCCAGTTTGGGAAAAGACAGAGACATACTCATATCAGGACCGAAGTGGCTCCAAAGATGGGTGCCGAGCAGGGAGAGGAAGCTAAGCCTGAGCCCGGCCCACTGTGTGTGTGGTCATCCACGGAAGAAAGTTCGATTTCTGTGTGTGTCCATGTAGGCATGCCCGGTGGGTCTCTGTGCATGTGTTTCTCTCTACCAGATTTCACATGTGAACAAGTGTTTGAACAAATGCTTCGGGGTCTGTTTTTCTCTGAGTTTCACTTTCTTTGTAGAAGAGATGTGTGTATAATTTTGCATATCTGTGTCTCTCTTTGTGTTCGTGCATCCCTGTGATTGGCAGGCCTATGTTTATCTCTGTGCACACGTGTCTGGGTACTGAAGTGTGTCTATCTCTCTGTGTATCTGTGCCCCATGTCTCTCTGTGTCTTGGATCTGTCTATGGTTTAAAATTCTATGGTTTTGTGGGTCTTTTTTTGTATCTCTAACTTGGCATAATTGTGGTCTCTCATTTTATTTGTGTGTCTATGATTCTTGAGGCCATATCTGTCTCTCTCTGGGTATGACTTCCTATGTCCCTGGGTCTCTCTGCATGTTGTTTTTGTTTCTGCATCCACACATTTTTCTGTCTGTTGGTATGATCTTGCATGTGTCTTGGTTGGGAGAGTTTCCATTGGAGGGTCTGGGTGGTACTTATTTTATATTTGAATATAGAACTCTGCATGAATGCTCAGGACATTCTGTGCCTGTGTGTGAGATTTGCATGAGCCTGTGCCAATTTTGTTATTTTGTGTTTATGTCAGTATTTCAAGTGCTTTGTGTGTGTGTCGCCGGGGCTGGCTGTGTGTGTACATTTGTAGTACAAGATCGCACATCCCATTACCTGTGCTGGAGTCTGTTTTCTACCCGTGGCCTTTTAGTGCTACTGGACATCCTGAGTTTAGTTGGAAGAGGGACAGGCAGAGCAGGAGTGAATCACTTCCTCCTTTATCTAATCTTAGAGGGCTTCCTGGAAGAGGGTGGAGATCCTGAATAGCTGGGGGAGGGAAACTGGACTGGCAGGTGCACAGAGGCCATTACTCTGCCAGGAGGTAGACACTGCCATGACCAGCCACAGCAGTGGTTTCGAGGTACAGTGGTATGGGCTGCGCACTGCATCGGGGGCCTGCCTAGCCTGACATGAAGGCCTGAATCCTAGCGTGCCTAGTTCTGTCTAGGCAGCAAGGCCTGGCTCCCCTCAGAGCAGAGCAGCCTGGCTGGTGAGACTGTCATTTGCTAGAGGGAGCTCGGGGGAGTTCCTGGAACAGGCTTATCCCCCGCCACACACATCCACCCCGCTTCTCTCCTCAGCGTCCCGACAATGCTACAACTTTCAACACATCTACTTCGGGCCCTTTGACCTCAGCGGCATGAAATTCCACAATGTCTCCTGTCCCCATGGATGCTCTGAGGCTGTCTTGTCCCTGGACACTGGTGAGGGGCAGAAAGTGGCAGGAAAAGGAGAAGCCTGTGCAGAAGACAAAGGGGTGGGGGCAGAGACGGGGGTGAGAGATTAGGGAGGGAGGGGGCAGAGGGGAAGAGCCAAGGGGCTGGGGGGATTGGGGAGAAGAGAAGGGCAGAGCTAAGGACAGAGAGCAGAGGTGGAGGACGCGAGGAGGAAGAAGGGGAGGGAGAAAGACCAGGGAGGATGAGGGGCGTGAGGTAGGGCAGGAGACCGTGGGAGACTGGAGGAGGGGGAGGGGAGGGGGATAACAGAGTGGGGAGGGGGTGGGAAGGGATTGGTGAGGGTAGGAGGAGTAGGGGGACTAGGAGAAGCGGAGTTTGCAGGGAGAGAGGGAGGAAAGAGAAGGGCAGCAGGGACAGGCGAGGTGAGTGCCAGAGAAGAGCGGAGGAGGAGGGAGAGACTGGAGACTAGAGAGGCCGAGCGGGGAGGTAAGAAGGAAAGGAGGAAGGAGGCTGGGACGAGGCAACGCACCAGGTCCCGGTCCCCTCCCGCCCCCAGGGTACCGCGCCTCAGTGACCCTGGTACAGAAGGGCTGCTGGACAGGCCCGCCTACCGGCCGAATGCTGTCCAACGACCACGCGCTGCCGCCCGACTACTCGGTGGTGCGCGGCTGCGCGACTGACTTGTGCAACGCCGACCTCATGACCCACGACTCCATCCCCAATTTGAGCCCGGGTGAGCGGGAGGGCGGGGCTGGCCGGGGTGGGCTGGGAGGGGCCCCCCGCCGGACAGGGAAGGGGTTGTGGCCTCCACTGGGCGCGTCCTCCATCGTGCTAGGATTCAGACCTTCACGTCAGTTAGGCCAGGTGGGCGCCCCGATGCAGTGCGCAGCCCACACGACCGTACCTCGCAACCATTACCTGAGTGTGCGTCTACGCTCTCTTGCCAGCGCCCAACCCGCCGACTCTCAGCGGCTTGCAGTGCTACGCCTGCTTAGGGATCCACCCGGAGGACTGCACCCCGGAGAAGTCTCGACAGGTCCACTGTCACCAGGACCAAAGTGTCTGCTTCCAGGGCAATGGCCAAATGACCGTCGGTGAGGGGCTGGGAGCGGGGCAGAGCCTGGGCAAAGGGTGTGAAGGCAGGGCCTGAGGGCAGAGGCACCGGACAGGCCTGACAGGGAGACACGGCTCTGGTCTGAAGGAGGAGGCGTGGCTGGGAGGGAAGAGCCATGGCTGTCTTTTGAGGGAGAAGCATGGCCCTGGTCTGAGGAAAGAGGCATGGCTCTGGTCTGAGACAGGAGGCAGAGCCCTGGTCTGGAAGGAAAAGGCATGGCCTGGTCTGAAGGAGGAAGCCATGTCCCTGCTCTGAGGGAGGAGGCAGGACTGTAGTCTGAGGAGAGAGACCGGAAGTAAGTCTGAGGACCCAGTCGTGGCCCCGGCCTCTGAGGTGGAGGTTCAGGTACAGCTGCCTCCCTCAGTTCTGACCCCCTCCTCACTGCCCCACCCCCCCAGGCAATTTCTCAGTCCCCGTGTACATCAGAACCTGCCATCGGCCCTCCTGCACCATCAAGGGCACCTCCAGCCCCTGGACAAACATCGACCTGCAGGGCTCCTGTTGTGAGGGGCACCTCTGCAATAGGGACTCCGTGACCCAGCCCTTCACCACTGCCTCGGGCACCGCCCCTTCCCAGGCGCCCTTCCTCATGGCCCCGCTCCTCATGGTCCCCCTGCTGGTGGGCACTCTGGGAGGACCCCTTGTGCCCCTCTCTTAGACAGCCCCTCCGGCCTTTTTATGAGCAGGATGCTGGGGGCTAGCACGCACCCGCTTCTAGAAACTTCAGCCTCTGTAATGTGGCTCACTGGGAAATGATGTCACACAAGAGTTGCACTCCTGTCTCTCTCTGCCACCACCCCCCACCCCACCACTTCCCTACCCCTGCCCTGCCCATACCCGATCAGCAGGCCTGGGAGACATTGAGAAACGTCCCCATCATCCCAGGGTGGGGAGACACAGCCACATCCTGGCCCACATGAAGAGCAGTCCTGACACCAGGGAGGCCCTGGCACCCCACAACCCACTTTCCTCCCTCTAGAGCCAGCATGGAGCTACAAGAATGTCTTTATTTGTATCATCATGAGAGGTTTGAGAGGCAGCATATCCTAGGAGCTAGGAGCACAAACTCTGGAGCCAGCCTGCACGGGTTCAAATCTCAGCTCTACCATCTAGCCTGTGGCTAGTTACTCAACCTCTCTGCACCTGTTTCCTCACCTATAAGGCAGAGGTGAAAATAAAACCTACACTAATGACAAGCTCTACTTCGCAGTGGTTGTGTTCAGAATTTAATGAGAGGAACATGGACTACCTGGGACGCAACAGCCACCCAGCGTGAGTTGGGCTATTATCCCAATGCCCGTGAGCAAATGAGAGGTGAGGGCACGTGCTCGCTCCCATGTATCTAGTGAATGGAGAGCCGGGAGTGTGACTCCCAGCCCCATCAACCGCTAGGCAATTCTATGTCCCAAACACAGAGGTGTTGATGAATTGGACAGAAAGGCACTTGAGGCAAAGCTGAACCGGGAAAAATTCTCCAACCTGTGGAGATTGAGGGAGACATCCTGGAAGAAGTGAATCTTATGCCAACTCCTTAAGGATAAGAGGTCTTAGCAAAGAGAAGCAGAAGGAAGGGCATTCCAGGTGGAGGAGACAGCCTGGACACAGATCCAGAGGTTGGGAGGGACACAGGGCAGGCAGAGGTGTATACAGAAACATGGAATGTCCTCTTGTCCACGTCCACTTTTACAAGGTCCTTTCACATCCTGTCCCCCACTTGATCCTCCCGATGATCCTGAGAGGCACACAAGAAAGGTAGTTGCATCCCCATTGGGCAGACAAGTTGCCCAAGACATAGTGAGAGGCAGTGATTTTCAGAGTAAGTGGCAGAGCAAGGATGGATCCCCACATCTTCTAACTTCCTTAATGAAGAGGAAGTCATCTCAGAGATGCTCCTACCTTCCTGTGAGGTCAAGGGGAGAAGTGTTCTAGATGTCTACACATCCTGACATAGAAGGAGAAGCTGAATGTCAATACCCATTCATTCATCACATTTACTGAGCACCTACCATATCCAGGCACTTACCTAGTTTCTAGGCATACAGCAGCGAACAAAACAGGCAAAAGTCCTGACCTTCAAGAAACTAGCTTTTTTTTTTTAAGATTTTATTTATTTATTTATTTTAAAGATTTTATTTATTTATTTGAGACGGAGAGAATGAGAGAGAGAGAGCACATGAGAGAGGGGAGGGTCAGAGGGAGAAGCAGGCTCCCTGCTCTGGACTCAATCCAGGGACTCCAGGATCATGACCTGAGCCGAAGGCAGTCGCTTAACCAACTGAGCCACCCAGGCGCCCTAAGATTTTATTTATTTATTTGACAGAGAGAGAGAGAGCACAAGCAGGGGGAGCTGCAGAGGGAGAGGGAGAGAGAGAAGCAGACTACCCGTTGAGCAGGGAGCCTGACGTGGGGCTCGATCCCAGCACCCCGGGATCATGACCCAAGCCAAAGGCAGACAGACGCTTAACCGACTGAGCCACCCAGGCACCCCAAGAAACTGACCTTTCTAGTGTGGGAAGCAGACTTCAGATTTTATTGCAAATGTGATTTGAAGCTGGGATGGTCGGTCTGATGTGTCCACTTGGCTAGGCTACAATCTCAGTTAGTCACTCAAACACTATTCTCAGTGTAAGTACAAAGGTATTTTGTAGATGTAGATATTATAGTCCATGGTCAGGTGACTATGAATAAGGGAGATTATCCAAGATCATCTGGGTGGGCCTGGGTCAGCCAGCTGAAAACGCCTTAAAAGCAGAGCTGAGGCTTGCCTGAAAAAGAAATCCACCTATGGACAGCATCTTCAGCCCGTGCTCGAGAGTTCCAGCCTGCCTCTTCTTACAGCCAGCCCTATGGATTTTGAACTCACCTGGCCAGCCCACGCAATCACATAAGCCTTGCCATAAATCTCTTATCTTAATATATATCTCCAGCTAGTTCTGTTTTTCTGGTTGATCCCATACTGATACAGAATCCATTGGAGAATTTATAGCAGGGAGCTGCCATGTTTCACATAAATATATATCATATAATAGTATATGTATAGTATATTATTATATCTTATGTGGTGTGTACATAATTTTATGTATTATAACATACATATATAATTATATGTATATGTAATTACAGATAATATATAACTTTTTCAATGAAACATAAAACACATACCGTAAAATGCACAACGTGCCATTTTTCCATATGTATACACCTGAATAACCTCCACTAGATCAAGATATAGAACATTTCTGGTCCCTGTCCCCAAAGCCTCCCACGTAGCCCTTCACAGGCACTTCCCACCCTGGAGGGAGCCATTACTCTGACTTCTATCATACATCAATTTTGCCTAATATTGAACGTCATATAAATGGAGTCATACAGCGTGTCCTCTTGTGTACATGCTTTACATTTTAGAGATCCCTGTGTCTGGGGCGCCTGGGTGGCTTGAGCCGGCCTGAGCCGGGTCTGCCTTCGGCTCAGGTCATGATCTCTGGGATCGAGCCCTGCATCAGGCTCCTTGCTTAGCGGGAGTCTTGCTTCTCCCTCTCCCTTTGCCCCTCTCTCAGCTCGTGTTCCCTCTCTCTCTCTCAAATTTTATTTATTTATTTGAGAGAGAGATAGACAGAGAGAAGGAACGCAAGCAGGGGGAGTGGGAGAGGGAGAAGCAGTCTTCCCACTGAGCCTGGAGCCCAATGGATTTTGTTGGTAGAGCTGACAGGACTTGATACATTGGCTGATGAGTGTGAGGTAAAGACAAGACTCCAAAGTTTTGGCCTGAGGAACGGGGGAAATGGTGGTGTCATTTACCAAAGAGAGGGACAGATGGAAGTGAGTGAGAATCAACAGTTGGATGTTCGACATCTGGAATTTTTTTCTGTTTACACTAAGAGCACTTCCATTTGCACAGGGCCTTTCCTTGGGACACAGAATATATGGGTATACCCAGGTGTATTTCCCCAACAGACATAAGTTTATATATTTCCTCCAAAAGACATATCCTAGAATGTTCCCAACTGGACAGTTCATAATAACCACAAACTGGAAACAGCTCAAACAATTATCAACAGTAGCATGGATAAATTAATTGTGGCCTCATCACATAGTGGAATGCTATTTTTTTTTTAAGATTTTTTTTTTAAATTTATTTGAGACAGAGAGAATGAGAGACAGAGAGCATGAGAGGGAGGAGGGTCAGAGGGAGAAGCAGACTCCCCACCGAGCAGGGAGCCCGATGCGGGACTCGATCCCGGGACTCCAGGATCATGACCTGAGCCGAAGGCAGTCGCTTAACCAACTGAGCCACCCAGGCGCCCCGTGGAATGCTATTTAGCAATGAGAATGCACAGTCTGCACCTACAAGCAACAGCATGGATGAGTCTCACAAACAATGTTGAGCAAAAGGACAATACACACAAGAGACCATTCTGCACAATTCCATTTATACAAGGTTCCCAAGTAGGCAACACTAATGTATACAATTAGAAGTCAGAATACTCAGGGGCACCTGCGTGGCTTAGTTAAGTGTCCGACTCTTGGTTTTGGCTCAGGTCATGATCTCAGGGTCGTGAAATCGAGCCCCACATCAGGCTCCGTGCTCTGTGTGCAGTCTGCATGAGATTCTCTCCCTCTCTCTCTGCCCCTCCCCCCATTTGAGTGTGCATGTGCTCGCTCACTCTCTCTCTCTCTAAAATAAATAAATAAATAAATACATAAAATCTTTAAAAAAAAAAAGTCAGGATACTCAGTGGCTGGAAGAGGGGACAAGGGGATTTCTGGGATCTGGTCCTGTGTTTCTTGATCCAAGAATTCACCCTGCTCTTTACTGATGATTTGTGTCCTTTCTACATGTATATTATTTTCCATAAAAGGTGGGGGAAAAAATTTTAAATGCTTTCTTGGTGCAGAAATGTCAAATGGGGGTGGAGAGAAATAAAATATACCCCCTTTCTTTAAAGTTATTTATTTGGTTACAACTAATGAGCAAAGGGATAAAAAAGACTTCAGTTAACCATCTCATGACATGAACCCTTGCATGTTAGGTAATGTGTTAAAAGAAAAGGAGTGACTGATTGAATAGATCCAGGAAATGTAGTCTCTACTGTGTTGGTTGGTTGTGAATTATCCAAATGATGTTTAGTATTGTTACTATCTGTGTTCTGACTGAATGGACTTAAATTTGCACATCATTCATCTTGCCTATCCCTTCACACATATCTCTTTGTCTTCTTAATCTGTGGTCATCTAACCCTTTTTTACTACTCACTGAACAACTAATTATTGCTATTTCCTAACTGCAGTGCCTGAGAAATATCTGGTCTTGATGAGAAGGAAAAGGCAGTGGAGAAGTAGCATGGATGCTATTGACAAAATTTTCATCTATGAATGTCAGAATCACCACCACTACGAATCCTTATATAAAAGAATAAAGGGAAAGAAGAGGCAAGATTAAAAGAAGTTGGTAGATGATAGATAGATGAAAAGATAAAAACGGAAGAGAGGAAGAGAGGAAGGGATAGAGGGGAAAAACAAGTGAAGAAGAAAATACGCGTATCTATAGGAATTGGCAAAGCAGCCGGAGGAAAGGCATCCCAGGTAGGAAGGACAGTACTCACAAAGGCATGGTATGTGTATACAGTGTGAGGAAGGAAGATGAGGATGAAGAGGGTG